CTTACCACCCCCAGACGGATGGTCAGAGTGAGCGAACCATTCAAACGCTTGAGGATATGCTTCGAGCATGTGTGATAGACTTTGGAAGGTCGTGGGATACCCACTTACCTTTAATTGAGTTTTCATACAACAACAGTTATCACACAAGCATCAAAGTTGCTCCTTTCGAAGCATTATATGGTCGTAAATGTAGATCACCGTTGTGTTGGACAGAGGTAGGCGACACTCAGCTGGCAAGAGGGCAGACATCTAGCAATGCATTGACAGGACCAGACACGAAACGACAGAGAAGATAGCCCAAATCAAAGCTCGACTTCAAGCATCACGCGACCGACAGAAGAGCTACGCCGATAAACGGCGAAAGCCTTTGGAATTTCAAGTCGGGGATCGAGTGTTGTTAAAGGTCTCCCCCTGGAAAGGGGTGATCCGTTTTGGGAAACGGGGAAAGCTAAACCCACGGTACATTGGACCCTTCGAGATTCTTGCCCGAATCGTTCCAGTGGCTTATAGACTGCAACTACCTACCGAACTCAGCAGTGTACACCCCGTGTTTCACGTTTCCAATTTGAAGAAGTGCTTATCCGACGAAACTCTCGTCATCCCGTTAGAAGAAATCAAATCAACGAGAATCTCCTGTTCATCGAAGAACCCGTCGAAATCATGGACAGGGAAGTGAAGCGTACTAAGCAAAGCCGCATTCCAATAGTGAAGGTTCGGTGGAACGCAAAGCGTTGACCGGAATTCACTTGGGAACGCGAAGACCAGATGAAGCAAAAGTACCCTCACCTATTCTCGCATTCTTAAATCTAGTTTCAAAAAGAATTTCGGGACGAAATTCCCTCTAACGGGGGGATGATGTCACAACTAGGAATTCTAATGCTTTGTAAACATTCAACAAGGATAACATTGTAACTAAAAACTTGAAAGCAATGTATTATGTTTATTCAATGACAACCAAATTCCATCAAACACTCTATTCAAAACACTCAAATAGTCAACAAAAGGTTGGAAACCCTAGAAATCCCGGTTTAAGTCCATTGTGGACTAGGATTTCTTTATTGGGCCTAATGGGCCAATAAACCTCCAATGTGACTATCTTGGGCTTAGAACTCTTAAATGGGCTCTAATTGGACCCACTATCATAATACTTAACCTTTTTGGGTTTTATAAGTCTAAAATGGACTAGTTACCTTTAATGGGCCTTATTGGGCCATAACAATCCAATAAGCCCTAAAAAGCCACAAATCCATTCTTGCATGCACATTTGGGCCGTAACCCACTCCAAATGTTCAAATGGGCCAAAAACTATTAAATGGGCTCCATATTTTGGACTCTAACACCAAGGCCCAAATCTTTTCTTCTCCCTCTCTCTCTCTCGGCCCAAGTAAAACAAAACAAAAAAAACAGGAAAAGAAGAGATAAGGGAGGGTTGACTTTCCATGGTGCCACTTCATAATTATCCATGGGATATCCATGCATCAAATCACATACTTCCGTGCATCCATCCTATCACCTCTCTCTCTTTTCCTTCTACTACTCTCGGCCGAGAGTATCAACACACACACACACATACACATACTTATTTCACTTCTAAATCCTCTCAAGAACTCACAACAACTTCTTCACTTCTCCTTCAAAATTTTTGAGAGTTAGGGCTCTTCGAGGAGGTTATTCCATAATAATCATCATCATTGGTAAGTTATTGTTTAGATCCATAACCTAGTCTCTTTATTTCATCAAAACTTCTTCCTAACTCACACCATTTTCGTGATCTACTTCTTAGAAGCTTCTTAAGTTCGAAATCAACCCAAGAAAGCTTGCTAGGGCCGAAAAATAGCATCAAACTCTTCCATTTCTTCTTCAAATCGAAAACAACAAGCAAAGGTGAGTTCATACCCCTCTATTTTTGGTTTTCACAAGTTTTATGGGGGAGGATATAAGTAAAATGTGTAGATCTATGTGTCTGTGTATGTTATGTGTGATTTCATGTGTTTATGTGGTAAATATGTAACAAAAAGAAAGAAATATCGAGATCTATGGCACAAGAAGGAAAATAAACATGATCTAAGATGTATTACACTAAACAAGTCAAGAAAAATTACCCTCTAAGGTTATAATAAACATATTGCAACATAAAACTCATTTTTGGACTATATTTGTCAAATAAACAAAAGTTGGGTTAAAAATGGTCATTCACGGTTTTCCTAAGGACCAAAAGAGTCAAAACAGTTAAAATAAATGTTTTTATGAATATTATGCTCTTTAAGGGACTAGAAATGTGATTTGTAGCCTAATGGGCCAAATTTTGGGCTTTTCGGCCCATAGGCCCAAAAATTGCGAAAAATGTGATTTTCAAGGGGTTGAAATGGTAAATTTCTCAAAACAGGGGTAAAAGGGTAAACAAAACTATTTCAGGGGTTAAAATGATTTTTTTTCCAAAAAGGATCAAAAATGTAAAGTTTTTGGAAATTTGGTCAAAATTGTAAAAGTTGCGAAAAGTTTGGACTTTAACTGAAAAACTCTTTGCTGAAAGGGCTGAAACTGCCAAAGAGTAAATTTTGAGCTAAAAACATTACATAAACAAGTCTATGGGTCAAAGATGTCAAGAAAAATGGTTCAAGGACCTAAAATGTCATGTTTTTATAAAAAGGGCAAAAATTGCCAACTTTACAACAATAAGGGCCTGAATAGGTCAAACTAATGTTTTTGGTCAATTATGTTGATAATAAAAATTTGGTCAAAATAAGCAAAACTTTATAACTTATGGGTTGTAAATAGAAAAATAGCTATTTTTACAAATCTATAAATCGTTATAAAACAAATTCGTGAATTATACGATACATCGATTAAATAACTCGCAACATTAGTTCTATATAAAACAAGTAAACGTTCAAGTGATTGGGCTTGAGAGATTCTAAACATGCTTAATGGGCCTTCGTGACTCATTAACATGGCTTTTGGGCCCAACATAAATAATACATGTTATTGGGCCTCCTCTGACCCAATTACATGCTTAATGGACCCTCAAGGTTTTTACATGCTATTGGGCCTCAGTGGCCTATTATGCATTACTAGTAAGGTCCAAGTAAATTATATGCGAAAGGGGCCAATGTGCTTTTCGTATACTCGACAGCCTTATATAACATACGAAATTAGTAGGGCCTAGTAGTCCTCTTCTCCTCGTCTGTTAGGCTTACCTTCTTTTCGTATAAAATAAAATTCGATCATTAATCAAGGTTAATCAAACACATGTGGATTGAGTGAGTAATAACGGGTGACACCAATAAGTGTCGGTCGTAGTCTGTAGTTGTAATCAAAGTCTCTTGGAGGGAGAGCGAGAGTTTGTGTATAGATCTATACGGGGGTGACTCCCCTACACCTAAGTTGTTCGCTACAGTTAGACTAGGCCAGTCTAGGGTGACAAAGTCTTAAGATCAAAATTCGGTGTTCATTAGAATACTAAGGCAGACGAACTAGTCATTATCATGCATGGTTATAACGACTCACGTAGAAATCCGACATCATTAATCAGGGGAAATCATTAATCAAGGGAAATCATTAATCAAAGGAAGATCATTAATCAATGGAAATCATATTCATTCGATGTAACGATTCAATAAAGCAAAACAATCATAACTTTTATTCGGAAGACATCGGGTTTTCCGGGGAAATAAATCTTACTCACTTGTACTTTCAAACATTATAATGCAAAACTTCTCATTTATTCATGTTTTGAAATCATTCACGCATATACTTACATGATCATCACAATATTTTTCAAGAAAGTTTTATTACAGAAAATATCGGATTCTTTTGGGTTTTACCAATGACATAAACTACTTTACCTCAAACACACTTATGAACTCACCAACATTATATATGTTGACCGTTTTCAAAATAACTTGTATTCTCAGGTAATCATTAGACAAGGAGGCATCCGGTGTGTTGAAAGTTTTCTTTTGTAGTAGCTAATCACCAAACACTTTATATTTTGAAATCATGTAATGTAAACCTTGTACTCGATGTAAACAATGCCAGTTGTACTATGTAATGGTTGGTGATGCATGTGTTATGTTTCATATATATTCATTGTGATGATATTTCAATTTAAGTCACGCGAGCCCTCGGACGTTTCCGCCGTTTGGTTCGGGGGTGTGACAGAAGTGCTCTTGAACTCACACACTAGCACACACGAATTTTGAAAAGAGAAGGGAAGGATCTTCTTGAAGTTCTTAGAGAGATAACTGAGGAATATGTTTCAAGTTGAAGTGAAAATGGTGGTGGGGGTGGCTCTCAGCCGTAAATAGAGAGAGGGAGGGGAGAGGGTTTAATCGGTTAATACATGTGGGTTATTTGCTTGGAAATCCATTAAACAATAATTAGGTAGCAACACCATAATTATCCTCTTATTATTATTATTTTTTTATATGTATGAAACCGAGAATGAGAGGGGAAGAAAAAGAGAAAAGGGAAGTTTGGGCTAGTATTGAACATATTAGAAATTATAAGGCCCAAAATAAAAGTTTTCGGCCCATTGGGCCCTCTTTATGGGTTTACGGCCCAAAAATGATAAAGGAATTGGGTTTGTGGCCCAAAGTGTTAGAAGGAATGAGTTTACGGCCCAATAAGGCTCATGAAGCAAAGTGAGACAATTTAGGTCCAATAAGGCCCATAAAAGTCTTATGGCCCAAAATGTTATAGTTTAATGAATGTGGGTCCACTTAGAGCCCAAATAGGGTTCCTTGGCCCAAAATAACCAAATTAAGAGTTTATTGGACCAACAGGCCTAATAAAAGGGTCGTGGTCCAATAAGAGTTTGAATCGGGACATTAAGATTGCAAACTCACAGTTGAAATGTATTGAATTTGGTTTTGGACTTCACGAGTGAGTTTTGATTTGAATAGTTGTTTTTGAATAAGCATTGTACATAACATCGACTTAGAGTCACAATTATATACAAGAGTTGATTACATGAAGACAAAATTTCCTAGCCAAAAATGCTAGTTGTGACACCCATTCTTATTACTCATCACACCTAAGGAGAAGTACTGGTAATGAAAACTGGGACCCTCCCTTGGTGTCTTCACCACCTCAAAAACGTTCTTGAATTTATGTGGGACTTCACCAATGACATGTGCATTCCCACCTCTTTTCACAACTTCCCAACCATTCTCATAAGGATCGAAGGTGATGTACAAGCCACATCCACCAGAAGCAAGTGATGCATTAAAGCCCTTGCTACATAAATTTGCTAGTTCAACTTCAAGTCCTTCGGTAAAACCATCACTTGAATCATCTAAAACCTTAAGGGAGCGCAACAGGAACTCTTCCAGCCAATAAAGCTCACCATAAGTAACTTCACTTCCACTCCCATTTGCCCCAGGAAACATATATTGCAGCCACTTTAACATCAAATCTTTGCTAACAACATATTTTCCATTTTTAGCACTAACAAGCATTTCTTTATCTCTCACTTCATAAATCCCTTTATGATTCAACTTCTCCAAGATCCAAGAGCTCTCCACACCCTTCTTGTTCTCACCAGTAATGACACTACTTCCACCAAGATCATCATAACCAGCTGTTCCACCTAGATCATCATAACCAGTTGTAACTGTAAACTATTTAAGACCTTTTTCTTGTATTTTGATTCCAACAAGCATACATCAATTCCCCTGCACTCTTTCTTGGAGAACCATAATATCATCCAGGAGGGGGTCCTGATGTTTGGACAAGGTGACATTAGAATCTTCAGTAACCTTTTGAAATGTGAAGTATGCTCCATGCACCAGATATTCAGAGAAATACTTGTCACTTGTGTTAGCAGTCACGAAAAGATGAAATATTTCTCCATAGTTTTGGAGACTGAAAATTTTTCCCAGGGCACCATCATCTTTACTGCAATCAACATTAGCTAATACACCATATCTGATACATAAGACAACACTGATCTCAGTAGAAGAGCCAATGTGCCTAGGTGAATCAACAAAAATGCTCAATAACTCGTTTTGGATGACATCGTTTTGGATGACAGGGGATCCAAAATTGAACCCTAGGGTTTTGAAGACGATATTAGGATAAGCCAACGCCTCCAACCTCGAGGAGGTGGGCATCGTGGTTGAGTAAGAGGTGGCCGATTGAGGTTCGATCGACAGAAGAGAAACATAGGTGCGAAGAGGAATCGGCGCCAATTGTGTCATTGGTTGGATTAGTGTTATGTGAATATAAGGTAGGTCTAATCCCTGTTTGACCAAAGTCGGAGCCGATTCATTAAAACTTGGGCTTGAGTTAGAAAAGTTACCCATCAACTCCACAGTACGATTAGTATTTTGTTAGCCCAAGGTGTTGATCACAGCCCACTTATCTCTTTTAAGCCCAATTTTGTAAAACCCTAGAAGCCTCACTTTTACTGTTACGTCTTTTAACGGAACCGTTATCTCAACCAAGCTCCGTTGGTCCGCTGTTACTCCTCCCATCTGGGGGTTCGCCAAAAATTGCTTGTCTCCGGTCGTTGAATGTTTCTCCGGTATCCAGTCACTTGGATTCGTTCCGTCAAAGTGGGGAACGTTTTGCTTCTAAAACTTCTCGTTCAGTTCTCCATGGTTCGGAATTAGGTCAAGCGTTCCTCCTCCCTTTACTACAAAACTAGACAGTTGTAGTAACGATGGCGGTGCCAACGGTAGTGGGGAAAACGGCAGCGGTGGTGGTGCAGGGCAGGGGGACGACGACACTGGTGGTATGTGGTTATCGAACAAAGGCACTCCCAACTTCCTAACGCTATGATTAGGGCTTGCCATGAACAAAATTGTAGCCTCGTTTCTCTTTTCGAATCCTAGAGCTGGTGTAAACTGCGATGGTGAAGGTGGTGGAGAAAGTTGTGAAGCCGACAACAGTGATGATGGAAGCTGAGGTTCCATCATAGGTTCCGATTCCAACTCGGTAACTTCCAATGATTCTTCTTCATCATCCGATTCCAACTCAATAATTTCCAAGGATTTTTCTTCTTCTTCATGGACTACTTTGTCCTTCTCCTTTAAGGTTGAGTAATAAAATTTTCTCCATTTAGCCTTCTCAGCCTCCCTCCCTTCCTCTGAGTAGTAATATTTTTTTCTTTTTTGCTATTTTAGCTTTTGTCTCTTCTTCTCTCTTTATCTGGTTCTGACGATGCATCTCCATTAGCTTCACCATCTCTAGCAGATCTGTTTGGATTATCCTCCTTGCTATCATTTCTTCCCCAACATCAACAGCTCTGATACCATTTGATAGACCCTTGTTGAATCTATCATATATCCCAGACATTCTAACACTTGAACTAACAGAAATTCTTGATAATATTCATAAAGATAGTTTTCTCACAATTCTAGAGGTGAGAGTCTCTCCAAAAGAAGAGAGTTCTCTTACAATTTAAGTCTTAGCTTCCTTACTCATACTACTAACTACTATATATACTACTACTAAAGAAAACGACAAAAGGGAATAACAACTCCGCGAGGTGATATCCCCACTACTTTGAATCGCCCCAGACTCTAACGTGCAAAATACATAAAAGACCAAACTGCCCTCCATACACAAATTTTGGAAGTAAGCTACAAAAAATTAGACTTTGGGCTCCTTGTAACATAAACTAAGAGTCCATGGGGCTTATCAATCTTATTTTCATTGTAACATTCTCCAGCCAAACAGCCTTTAGACTTTTTATTTAGATCCTGAGTATTTTGTTTTCTAAAATTAGATTTTGATAGTCATATATGAACCTATTTTTTATTATATAATTGTGATTTGATTTTTTTAAGAAAAAGTTATCATTTAATTATCCCACATAGGCACATACCCATATTTTTAGCTACAAAGAATCGTGTGGATTGCCTTTGCTTTATCTATTTCTCGTCCCTCCCTCACTCTCTCGCTGACGGAGAGAGCAGCCATGGAAGCCTCCAAGCTTCCATGCTCATTTGCCCCATTTCCACCTTCCACTTTAATTTCAAGAAATCGTACGAAATGCCACCATTCTCTTTCCCCTGGTAATTTCCTTCCACTTACTCAGTTACTCTTGCCAAATTATTCATCAGTTAATGTGCTCCTAAACCCTTCAAACTTCACGATTGTACTTCAGAACTGAATTAATTTAAGTACTTGAATTTCCATGATGATTAAAGCTTGATTCTCGTTTGCTAATTAATTGACCTATATTCAGATTTCCAGTTCGTTTTTTAGCATCATGTTTCAGCTTTTGTGGTTTCGTGTATCCCCTTATGTCTTTGAGCATGTTTTGACGTTTAAGTTAAAGCGAACTGATTTGCAAATACATAATTGATATGAATACCGTTATTTTTGGAGAAATTTTGATAACTATATACAAATTTTGTATCAGATAATACAATACATATATATTGATGTAAATTCGTAGCAAAATCTATGTCAATTCTAAAACTGAAAAGAATTAGGTTTTACCTTCAAAAGTCAAATCATATCACCTCCCATGGAACATGGAGATCAACATATGTTTGGTATCAATCGTTAACAACAAGTAAATTTGAACTAAGGTGTTGTTTCTTTATGCTTTAATTGATCAATTGATATAATGTAGACATAAATTCATTTGCAGGTTTTTGGAATTACAAAGACGTTATTGTACAAAGATTATCACTAATCTATCCTTCTCACTTGCCCTCTAGAAACCCTAGAATGCAGTTCATCAGAAATTCATCAGGTTTAATCACTAATCCTTATTTTAATCAATATTTGACATTTAAAACAAGAATTGAAATCAGAAGTTTATGTAATCTTCCTTATAGCTTCAGTAGAACCACTCACAGAGGATCATCATATAGAAGAAAAATGTGAAGAGGGTCCCACAAGTGGGAATTCCATCCGTAGGAGATTTCTTGAATTTTATGCTGCAAAAGGTCACAAGATTCTTCCAAGCTCTTCTCTTGTCCCTGATGATCCTACTGTTCTTCTCACCATTGCTGGGATGCTGCAATTCAAACCTATTTTTCTTGGAAAGGTATTTAAATCCCCATTTATTAACAGAAACAAGTTGTACTGTGTTTGACATGCATTGGACTGAGTGCCCAGCGACAAAAATTGAAACTTTTTCTCTCACCTAAAAAAGTGGACAAAAGTTGCAACTTTTTTGTCTCACCTAAAAAGGTTGTACAAAACTCATTGTTGATCTCACGTCTGTGTAAAAGACATGAATGCCCTTCTCATGCTAATGATCAAAAATAGCCCTAGAAAGTTGGGGGCATTTTGGTCCATTTTTGATGGTTTTGAAATATACTTTTCAGGTGCCAAGACAAGTACCATGTGCTACTACTTCTCAAAAGTGTATACGTACGAATGATATTGAGAATGTTGGAAGAACTTCTAGACACCATACATTCTTTGAAATGCTTGGGAATTTTAGTTTTGGTGATTACTTCAAGAAAGAAGCTATAAAGTGGGCTTGGGAACTTTCAACCATAGAGTATGGATTGTTTTTTTTTTCAAAACTTTATGAATAAATGATGTTTGAAAGATCAGGAAATGGAAGGAAAAACAGTTGAGGGAAATTTTGTAATATATTATGGCTTAAGTCCAAAAGAAACACACATATATAGCATTTGTGGAATTTGTCTTAAAAATTATCCTAATACTTGTTTATTTTTATGATTTGCTTTCAGATATGGATTGTCTGCAGAGAACTTATGGATTAGTGTTTATGAAGATGATGAAGAAACATATGACATATGGCATGATGAGGTGAAATATCTTCTTCATATTAGCCAACATATTAACATCTTTTATCAATAATAACAATATGTAACTTGAAACTTGTAAAATATAATTGATTTTTTCTTAAAACTTGCAAATAAGGATACAGTTTTTTTTTTTTTTTTTTTTTTTTTTTTTTTTTTTTTTTTTGCTTCAGATAGGTGTTCCTGCAAATCGTATAAAGAAAATGGGTGAAGAAGATAACTTTTGGACAAGTGGCTCAACGGGTCCTTGTGGGCCATGCTCTGAGATCTACTATGATTTCCATACCGAAAGAGGGTTTTCAAATGCTGTAAGTTTCAATCTTTGTTTGTGCAAAAGACGTAAATGCCCCCCCTTTGGGTGTGACAAAAAGTTAACAATTTTTGTCCCATTTACATCAGTCTCAAAAGGGGAAGCGCCTTTTTGTTCGTAATGGTGTTGACTTTGTTGTTTTGGTTGTTGACTTAATATTCATATGTAGGATTTGAATGATGATACAAGATTTATCGAGTTTTACAATCTTGTCTTCATGCAATTTAATAAAAAAGAAGATGGTTCTTTAGAACCTTTAAAACAAAAGAATATCGATACGGGCATGGGCTTAGAACGCATGGCTCGCATCTTACAAAAGGTACCAAAATCTTCTTTGAGAAGGGCATTTACGTCTTTTTCACATATGTAAGGTCTAGAGCAAGTCCATGTCCCATCTTTTTAGGTGAGACAAAAAGCTGCAACTTTTGTCTTGTTAACATCCGCCTCAGTCCCAATCCCAATCCACTGCTCAACAAACACAGTACAACCTGCAAACGAGCTTAAACTTTGAAAAGGTACCGAAAGCTTCTTTCAATGAAAAGGGCATTTACGTCTTTTTCCCATATGAGAGATTTGGAACTAGTCCCTGTCCCTGTCCCAATCCACTACACAACAAACACAAACACAAACGGGTTCAAATGAGCTTAAAACTTTCAAAATTTTAAATATTTTAAAACTTTTTTTACAGGTTCCCAACAATTACGAAACGGATTTAATTTTCCCGATTATCGAAAAAGCAGCAGAATTAGCAAGCATATCATATGCTCTTACAAACGATTCATCAAGAACAAAACTCAAAGTATGCTATTCATTATTCAAGAATCAATATTATTATCTTTCCAATTTATTCAAAAACTTTATATTAAATATTTACAACTTTTTAGGTTATCGGTGATCACATGAGAGCAATCGTGTATCTTTTATCAGACGGCGTATTCCCGTCAAACATTGGCCGAGGTTACATTGTCCGACGGCTCATTCGGCGGGCCGTACGTACCGGAAGATTACTCGGTATAAAAGGAGACGAACCTGGCAACCTCGAAGGCGCGTTTTTACCGATAATCGCCCAAAAAGTAATCGATTTAAGCACAGAAATCGACCCCGATGTAAAAACAAGAAAAACGCGTATTCTCGAAGAGTTAAAACGAGAAGAATTACGGTTTATTGTTACATTAGAAAGAGGAGAAAAGCTTCTAGATGAAATGTTGGACAATGCTTTGGAATACGCGACACTTCACAAAACCACCGCTTGTTTATCGGGAAAAGATGCTTTTCTTTTATATGATACTTACGGGTTTCCGGTGGAGATAACCATGGAGGAAGCGGATGAGCGTGGCGTTTCGGTAAATATGAGTGATTTTGATGTGGAGATGGAAAATCAAAGGAGGCAATCACAAGCTGCTCATAATACGGTGAAACTCACGGTTGAAAACGGGTCGGATTTGACCCAAAATGTTCCGGATACAGAGTTTATCGGGTATGATACACTTTATTCTAATGCGGTGATAAAGGGTATTTTATTGGGGGGTAAACCGGTAATTGAGGTTCCCGAAGGAAGTGAAGTTGAAGTTTTATTGGATCGGACACCGTTTTATGCGGAATCCGGTGGTCAAATTGGGGACCGAGGGTTAATAAAAGTCAACGGGGGCAAAACGGGAATTACTGCGGTTGTTGAGATATCCGATGTTCAAAAGTCGTTAGGGAATATATTTGTTCACAAAGGTACGATAAAAGAAGGAAGTGTTGCGGTTGGTGGAGAAGTGGTAGCAGAGGTTGATGCAAAATTACGACAAAGGGCAAAGGTAGGGTTATTAAGATCATTTGTTTTTTTTTTCTTTTTTGTGAATATCCTTATTTTAAATCTATTTATGACGGGTTATTATTAACTTATTATATAATTTGGGGAGAATTTTTTAGGTACATCATACGGCTACTCATTTGTTGCAAGCGGCGTTGAAGAAAGTTATAGGACAAGAGACGTCACAAGCGGGTTCATTGGTGGCATTTGAACGGTTGAGATTTGATTTCAATTTCCATAGGCAACTTCTTGATCATGAGTTGATGAAAGTTGAAGATTTGATTAATGAGTGGATAGGAGACGCGACGCCTTTACAAACCGAAGTGATGCGGATTGCGGATGCTAAAAAAGCAGGCGCAATTGCAATGTTTGGAGAAAAATATGGCGAAGAGGTATTTTGTATGGCCCTATTTGTGCCACATGACCTCGTATTGTGTTTGGTCTGCATTGG